TTTACCCTTATTCCTATTTCTTTAAAAAGATATAATGGCACCAAACAGCCCCAGATTTTGCGCCTCACTTGCCATCGTTACTGGATCGTCGCCCTTCACACTTCACAGCTCCAATTTCTTCTTCTTCTTCTTCCACCTCCTTTGACTCTCCCACCGCTTCTTGAAATTTGTAGAAAATATTGCATACTATAACCCAAGAAATTATCCAGTAATTGTCAAAATGAATTTGTTCCATTTCTCAGCATCTCCAGCAATCAACGCAAGAATTTTTTTTGTAAGCAATTCACAAACTAACAAATCTAAAAATAAAGAAATAACAAAACTCCCATAGCTTTGCCATCACAAGATTGGAATGTTTAGGGTGCAATTTTTTTACAGGCAAGAAAAACACAAGACGAAGAAGTCGAGAGATGAGGCAGTAAGTGAAAAAATGGAAGGATAATATTGTACGAAAACTTCATAAGCAGGGATAATTTGGTCACCCAAAAAGTTATTCCTTCCTAGGAATGGATTTCATTCCCATGATCCGCCGATGAAATGGGGATTGCCTTAAATGAGATAATGGGCCATCATATTAAAATGCGTTCTTCCAAGCACCAAATACTTAAAATGGTCATTTTTTCTTTCATTTTCACTCCAATACCACCCATTCTCTCATATCAATCGAGGCGTAACATTGCTTTTGAAAAAATCCACAAGGAAGGCCACCTTAGCTTAGCTAACTCTTCTAATTTATTCTGTCTTTCTTTGTTTTGTTGAGAATGAAAATAAAACGCAAGTATCTGGTCTTAGTATAAAAGACTATGACAGCTTTAAACAAGGAGCATCAAGTGAATGCAATAAACATTTTTGGGAATTATTATAAATTGAATCCAACAGTCATTGAATTTAATTCATTCAAATTCATATTCAATGACTCTCCTTGCTTACATAATGATCTTTTTCTTCCCCGCATGAGTGGTTGAAATAGTTTGCAACTCTGTTATTGCGAGCTGTGCATGTATGAATAGAACAACAGTAGCAGCAATAGTAACAGATCTACTTGTCCACTGGGTTGGGAACTGTGAATACATGGATGACGTAAGAAAATATGTTTCATGATAGGGATTACGCATATGCAAGTATATGGATAACAGAAAAGGATCATATTTTGAAGGATGTTGAATAATTGAAGGCATAAAAGTGACCAGGGAGTGACTCATGGACACCGCCGGGTAGCACCAAGAAGTGGAATCTTCTGTCTGGAAGGGGATGCATCGCTGATGCTCAAAATAATGCTGCATGTGGGGGTCTGATTTGGGAACTTTGATGGAGAATGGATTATTGGGTTCATTTGTAACCTGGGAAATGTACCTATTACCACTGCTGAGCTCAGCAATTAAATATGGAATACAAGTCTGCAACCAGCTTACTGCTGAAAGAGTCTACATGACTTCTGATTCACTTGAGGCAATCAGTCTGATATACCGAAGTACAGCAAGAGGAGACCACCCCTTTTAATTACAATGATATTGTGGAAATACAAGATTTTGTATGCAGACAGCAGAACCTGGAGCATCATCACATCACTCGTGAGTCGTGAAGTCAACCTCTGCAGATTACTTATATCCCGTTTGGCACAAGATGACCAAAACGGCGTTAATACCCTGGCGAGACCACCTTAGCTTTTTTCTGGTTTTGTAACTCTTTCTAGCTTTCGCTAGCCACTACCTAATTCCAAAAAAAAAAAAAAAAACAAGAAGAAGAAGAAGACTGGCCGTAGGGGTTAACCATGGAGTGAACTTGTCCAACGTTCGTATGAGGAAGAGTATACCAAAATTATACTGAACAACAATGTCTTACGATCCAGAAGAATAACCTCCAACGCAGTGTCCTTGAGCCTGTGAATCAACTCCTGTGAGCACGTTCATTGGGCTACTTTATTATTATTATTATTTTATTTTATTTTATTTTTTTGTGTGTGCCCCCATCATGGAGACCAAACTCCAAACGTTTCCAATAAACTAAGCGTGCAAGTGTTCCGACTTGGGCTTCAATTGCAAGTCCACTTAATGGCCCAATAATTCACTCTAGCATAACTCTTCTTCAGTTAATGTCCAAGAGGCCAGCCTTCACACATGTGCTCTTTCGTGGTAGCCAGGCTTGAACCTTGAATCACGTTGGAAAAATTGAGGAAGTTCGGATTAAAAATGTAAATTGACTAGCATCCACAAAAAAAACAAACGGAAATTGACTAAAACCCAGACCAGGTAAACGGATCCATTCCCCGGAATCTTCCTTGCCGCGAACTCCCTTTGTCAACGACATGGACGTTCTTACTAAACTCATGGGCCCCCACGCTCCCAAGTTGCGGTAGCGCCGCGATAATTCACAATCACTAACACTGAATTATTTTCTGTGTTCACACCTTCAATTTGTCACTTTTCATTTCGAACGATCATAATTCATCTCATTACAACCCATGGCGGTTTGTTTCACACGTATAATTTTCACATAATAAACTACCTCCACAAATGCTTTCTATTCTCGACATCTTATAAGAATTTTTTAATGGATTCATTCTTCCATTTTTTTAAAAAAATAAACAGAAGTTGGTTTTTTTTTTTTAATAACCGTGAGAAAAGTTCATTTTGATGATTAAGTGACCTAGTTCAGTGTCTTTAATAATGATTAGCATGTGAGGAACACGTGTAAATTTGTCAAAATTAAGGACAAAATTTATATATATATATATATGCACATACATATATCATGTTTGAAAACTTATTAAATTTCAGACAACCTTAATATATAATGTAAATTTAAATTTTTATTCAAATAAAAATAAAATTAAAATTTTATCCCTTTTTTTATATGAAATTAATAACTTGACTATGTCTCCTTAATTATGGTGAGGTAGTTATAGGTGATTTTATAATAGGGATGTGAGGTTAAGAGTTTATCATAATGTTAATTAAAAAACATTTCATTGAATTATATTGTTTTCATCATAATCCTTTCTCTGTCATTTGTCAATGAATACTTTTAAAACATTGATGAACACTTTCCTCGCTCGTTGCAAATGTCATCATGTAGCATGGTACGTACTCCCTTCATTTTAGAAAAATTATTATTATTATTATTATTATTATTTATTTTATATAAATAAAATTACTTATTTTAATAAGTATTTATTATACATTTCTTAAATCACCTCTCATAATTTATAGTAATAAAAAATAATTAATACATATTTATGTTGATTAATATAAGGTATTTTAGTTTAATTTTTTTATTTTCAAACATAATTATTATAATATATTTTTTTTATATAAAAATGGAGGGAGTGATTAGTAACGGAATTTGAGTCTAAAAACATGTACTCTTAAATTTTTGTAAATTCATGTTATTTACAAGCTATATTATATTAAAATGAGGGTGACTTGGTGTCTTCACACAGATTATAAAATTATAACCTTGCGAGGACTAGTCAATGACAAATTTTCTTAGCAACAATTAGGGCTGTGCATGGGCAGGGTCGGGTAGGGCAATCCATTAACCTGATGCCCTGTCTTAAATGTCTTCGGGCAAAAAAACTATGCCCAAAGCCCGACCCTACCCGAAAGATGCCCGACTTTGGAGGGGCCGGGCGGGCAGGGTCAGGCAGGGATCAGGCACCTCGGGCAGGGTCTCCAACCTTGCCCTACCGAAATAAAAAATCAGAACCATCCACACAAATCTGAAATACACTGTAGCAGATTAATTATTTCCATCAATAAATCATTTCAAGCTCTTATTTTAAAAGTAATAGATTGTTAAATATCACTAGCAAAAATATTATGGCGTCATCAAAAAACTTAATGGCAAAACAAATATGGAAGGAATTTTTCATGCAAGTCACAAGTGCTGTCCAATTCCAAATTCTAAGGAATATAAAAATATTTAACCTAAGGTTTACAAACTTGATCATCAAGACATCTAAAAAAAAAGAACTACCATTTATGTCCCCATCAAGTTAAAAAATTATATCCTATATTATTATTTTTATAAAAAAATATATTATATCTCGGGCTGGGCAGGGTCAATTGGTTGGATATCCCAGCCCTAAACCCTGCCCAACCCGAAGATCGGGTTCAGCCCGACCATGCCCAAACAGAATTGGGCAATTTTTTTAGGGCTCGGGTTGGGCATATTTTGCTCGGGTCGGGCCGGGCATCTCGGGCTCATGGGCATTCTGCACAGGCCTAGCAACAATGAACAATGCCATTTTTTTTACTTGTGAAGACTATGTTTTACTATGTTCTTTTATATTTTGTATTGACATTAGTAGTATTTTGATAATTTATTTAAATAAAAAATGCATATAGTTGGCCAAAAATGTAAAAAATAAAAAATGCACACTTTAAAAATATAAACCATTTTTTAAAGAGTTAGATGTTAAAAAATATAAGGCATTTTTAATCTTTTGAGGTGTGATCATTATTTTTTTCTAAAAGTACCTCTATTAATAACGACTTTATATTTACTGTAGGGTATTTAATGAAAATAAATATGAAAAGATAAAGTTAGTTAAAAAATAAATAACTATTTTACTGAAGGGTAATATTTGATTAAAAATATTTTATATTTTTAAACAGAAGAAGTATATGCAAATAAATACTGGAAAGTGAATTGTTTGTTGATTCATTCAAAGCTGAACACGTGCATTTTTAATTTTTTTTAGAAAAAATTACACCTAAATTCTAAATAAAAAATTATTATTAAAAAATCACGTAACATTTAACTAATACTTTCAGATATCAAATCATATAAATTTATAACTTAACAAATATCATTTACAACTTATTATTATAAGTTATTATTTTTTTATAAATTGTAAATATTTATTGCTCAATTATACATGTTTCTTACTCAATTATAAATTTTATAAATTTTATGAAATTTTTGATAATAAATTTTCTTCTGCGTACCTGAATGTAGTCCCCTTCTCTCTTCTCGTTCGATCCTGGCTCACCATTCCACTTCAATCTCCGTCGTTTACTTGTCATTTTTCAGTAGTCACTACCGTCTCGGCGTCTCCTTCGACATTTCTTCCTCTTAACGTACAGTTTCGCTCCTCAATATCTTCACTTTCGTCCATGAATCACACTAGTCTAAAATCTCTCTACCATAACTTCTCTTCCTCCATCATTTCAAGGTTCACTTTTTCATTGAGTTTTGCCTTTGTCTCATGGCCTTTTTGCTTCGTGGATATTCTTATTACCTTCCTTGCTTCATGGGTTCTTGGCATGATACGTTCTTGTCCAAAGAAGTTTAGATGGTAATGGTTATGGGTTCGTAAAATTAAGAGTGAGTTTGTTTGACGCTAGAATTAATGGATTCGCTTCTGAAAAAATGGCTGCCTGGGGTGCCTTCATCAGTTTCTAAAGATAACGACGATCATGACCTCGAATACTCCATTGCTATGATATATGATGGTCCTGCTATAAATTATTCGATCCCAGAAATATCTACTTTCGCAATTGATCAAATTCCAATTGCTTCCGTAGCTTCCATTTCTTCCGATAAGCTTTCTGTTCCAATTATCCAGCCCATTGTGAAAACCAGTCATACAAACCTTGTCCATGACTCTAAATCGAACTCCCACTCCTCAACCATTGAATTTCCAAACAGAATTAGTAACTCGGGTTCATGGGGCAATGATGATAACAAAGAGGATAGATTCTTTCAAAGTGAAAACAATCCCACCAACTCAGAAATAACAGAATCAGGTTCAAACTCTCAATCAGTCTTCTCTGAGATTTCTTCTTGCAGGGAAGGTGACTGTAAAAACGACACAACGAGACCCACACTTGTCAAACGACCTTCAACTGTAACCTTCCGTGATCCTGAGTCAGATGCCTTGATAGTAGTTAGCGAAAGATCTGATGAATCTCAAGCTGGAAGGTACCCTGTGAGACCAAAAGTTGAGAGAGCCGGGAAGAAAGGTACATGTCATCGGTGCCATAAAGGTAACCGTTTCACTGAAAAGGTAATTTGCATTTCTTGTGATGCCAAGTATTGCTGCAGTTGTGTCATAAGAGCAATGGGGAGCATGCCTGAAGGAAGAAAATGCATTACTTGCATTGGTTATCGAATCGATGAAAGCAAACGAAGAACCCTGGGGAAAAGTTCTCGGATGCTGAAGCATTTGATGTCTGAGTTGCAAGTGAAGCAAATAATTTACGTTGAAAAGTTTTCTGAAGCAAACCAAATACCACCAGAACTTGTTTGTGTGAATGGGAAACCTCTAAATAGGAAAGAGATGATGCTACTCTTGAGCAGTTCAAATCCACCGAAAAAGCTAAAACCAGGTTTTTATTGGTATGATAAGGCATCTGGTTTATGGGGAAAGGTGAGAATTAACTTCCATAATTAAATACTTTTATAAGCACACCTCAAATCTTTTTGCTCGGGTTGATTATACAGGAAGGTAAAAGGCCCAGTCAAATTATAAGCACCCAGTTGAACGTTGGAGGTGTATTGAAGGAAAATGCAAGCAATGGAAACACAAATGTGTTCATAAACAGTCGAGAGATTACCAAACAGGAGCTCTTGATGCTCAAGGTTGTTTTGCGTGGCACAATCATATATCTTCTACCTTTTTTTTCCTTTGGATTTTGGACTATGTCAAAAGGAAATATTCCGTTCATTGTTTATAGGCGGCAGGAGTGGCATGTGAAGGTGCCTAACTTTTGGGTTAATGCTGATGGATCGTACAGGGAGGAGGGACAGAAGAATATCAAGGGGTACATATGGAACAAGGTGATTTTGTATAGTTTAATGTTAACTTTTTGGTTTTTCTTGTTACAGTTACGACCATTAGTCAATAATTGTTGGCTTCATTTTTTACAGACTGGAGCAAAGCTAGTCTGTTTTGTGCTGTCTCTGCCAAGGCCTCCTAACTCTGTCCCTCTTCGCAGTGAAGCAAGAGTCAACATTGTTACCCAGCATTGCATTGAGAATAAAACGCTTTACAAAATTTTACTTGTCGGATCTGCCAAATCTGGGACAAGCACTATTTTCAAACAGGTAAGGTGCTTTTTTGGGAGCACTCATTCTCGTGTATGGTGCTGAACTGATTGAATGAATGACTTATGCTTTGATTCAAAAAGCTAATAGCTTGCTCGGTTCTGCAAGATTGTATCATTACAAAATCTATTCGGACACGTGGTATAAATCCCTTGTCAAAGTTTAAAATTTCTCCTGTTTGTTAATAAAAATAATCATGAGTGACACTAACGACTGGACATGCACATCCTAGGCCAAGCTTCAGTACGACGTCCCTTTCTCCCATAACGAGCTCCAGAATATCAAGCTGGTGATCCAGAGCAACCTGTATACCTACCTCGGTATATTGTTGGAGGGCTGCGAGAAATTTCAAGAAGAGAGTTCATTGCAGAATAGGAAAAGACGGATGGTCAATGATTCCACCTCGTCTGGTAATTTTCTTCATAGCTAACAAAGTTCATCTATGTTTATTTAGTCCCTGGCGAAATTCAAAGCGATTGGTAATTGCTTTTTCTACATATAGTTTACACTCTAGTTTCTTTGCTATGTTGAGTCATTTTCTTAGGAATACTTCACCAATGTCATGAATTTGTTAATGCCTTCTGTGAATGCATAGCGTGATTCTTCGTTGTAATATTAATATTTCTATCTTTTCATCTGTGATAATTCTTCTAACTTGTAATTTAGCTCACTGAAGAAAGCATGTTTACCATTAGTTGGTAGCTTGTGTTATAAAGGGAAGGTGCTAACTTCTGAGTTACAACAGAGAATACAGGCAATACTGTTGAAACAACAGTATATTCTATTGGCCCAAGACTAAAAGCCTTCTCAGATTCACTCATCAAATACAGGATGTCGGGTAATTGCGGTGACATATTTCCAGCTGCTACATCTGAGTATGCATCTCTTGTAGAGGAGCTATGGAGGGATGCAGCCATTCAGGCAACCTACAATCGGCAAAATGAGTTAGAAATGCTACCAATAAATGCAAGCTATTTTCTAGACCGGGTAAGTGGCGCTACCATCCATCTTTTTATGTGATTTATAAACCTAATTGGCTAATTGTTTCTCAATTATGCATCTGAGTTGATCAATGTACTCCTGCTGTTTTTCTTTTCTTTTCATTGCTTTTTTGTTCTTGTCACCCCTTCTGGATGTCGCAACTTTCAGGTTTCAGTAAAGTAAACGACCTTCTGAATCATTTTTGTATGAATTTGTAGTCCCTCAATTTATTAAAATCTATTATTTCCCAAATTTGGCCATGGACATGGCAACTGCATCATTTCATCTCGTGATCATTTACTATGCATCAATGCCTAAATACTTTCCCTCATGTGCAGGCTGTTGAGATTTCCAAGACAGACTATGAACCCTCTGACATGGATATCTTGTATGCCGAGGGTATGACCTTATACAACAGTCTTGTTTCCATGGAATTTTCATTTCCTAAGCCCGTTGATGAGGACTCCGTGTTCCCCGAGTTTCGGCATGATCTGTCCTTCAGGTCAGATCTCCGTATTCATGCAGTTTTACATGTGTGACAATTCACTTCTGGTCATTTGAGCTCAAATCCTGCGACCATCCACTGAAGATCTAGTTATAAACCAAGAAGGGAAATGAATTTATTCTTGCACGAGACTAAGATAATGCTTCTTTCTTAGCTTTTTTTTTTTTTTTAATTTTATTAGGCGAGTCATTATTTGCTTAAATCAGTATTAATAGCAAACATCCAAGAACGGTGCATAAATTTTTTCCCTTTAATTTTCAGATGCTAAAGTTTTCTTGTGCTAATAATGGAAGCTACGTCCTTTTACAAAGGGGCCACTTTGTGAGGTGTGGGGATGATATGAAACCTGAAGTATCATATATTTTGCAAGAGCTTAATAGTTTTCATTTGCTTGTTTTGATTATAGATACCAACTCATCAGAGTGCATCCCAGAAGCCTAAGAGAAAATTGCAAGTGGTTGGAGATGTTTGAGGACATGGATATTGCCTTGTTCTGTGCAGCCTTAACTGACTACGATGAGTATATTGTTGACAACAATGGAGTTTCTACCAACAAAATGCTTGCAGCTAAGCGTCTCTTTGAGAACATGATCAGACATCCAACCTTCAAAGACAAGACATTCTTGTTAATACTGACAAAGTTTGATCTTTTTGAGGAAAAAATTGAACTGGTGCCTCTAACGCAATGCGGATGGTTTTCTGACTTCAATCCAGTGATCAGTCACAATCACGACAGCGCCTGTACAAGTAACCGAAGCAATAACACCCCACTGGCTCACCGTGCTTTCCATTATATTGCTGTCAAGTTCAAGAAATTGTTTAAATCTCTGACAAACCGAAAGCTGTTTGTTTCACTGGTTACCGGTTTAGAACCTGATACTACGGACGAAGCCCTCCGATATGCCAGAGTGATCATGGCTTGCGAAGAATGGATACCACCACCTTTTAAAAACGACAAATCAGAGATTACTTCAACAACCTTCGAAATCGAGGAAGCAAGTTCCTTCTGATTCTTGCCCGAAATAATTGATATACAGGCTGTTTTGTTAGAAGAGTTAATGTCTATTCTCAGTATTCTCAGAAAGTTGGTCGCACATTCTAGGAGCTGGAGCCTAAATTTATGTTTAAGAACTAATAGGGTATGTTCTGTTGTAGTTTCCCATAAACTTTTGTTTGCTTATACTCGTCTACAAAACACAAAGCAGAGGAAAGAGTTATTTCTATCATCTTGGATCTCAATGATGCAAGGTATTATTATTCTTTGCTTCCATAGAAATAGAAATTACTGCTAGCTTCAATATTTCATTAATCCAAAGTTAAAGCTCAGTTCAACCGAGGAGATAGAACATTTGAGTTTTCATGACCATTCCTTTAGAGAATGAGTCAGAGTAAGAGCGGTATAGATGCATCCATTTAAGAATTAAGATGGCCCCGGAAACCAAAAAAAGGTTTAGCCTGAGTAAACCTGGTGTCGAAATATATACAAATAAAAAACATGAATACAGACATATCACCAAGGCACAAATCGATCCATAAGCAAACACACAGATGCTTCAGACATCATTGAACTGTCCGTCCGAACACCTCTGTTGTCCTTCTCGTTAGAAGCTTCCTTGTGCACAGTTGGCTCAGCTCGTGATCCTTCTCTGGGCTTAGAAGGCAAGATCTTCTCTTTCAACCTTGCCAGCTCGCCCATCCATGTCTCAGCGATGGTAGACATTTTCACCGGACTCTCACGATCAGAATGAAGAACCTCTTGTTTGAACTTTGGTGTTTGGAACGAAGCCTGAGTGATGAAAGGTTTATATAGAAAAAACAAAAAGAGGGGAAGGCCATGAAAATGGTGGCTCCGGAAGCTGTCAGAAACGGAAGCCGTGGACGCCCAATGAATAGTCGAAGGAATCACAGGAAACGAAAGGATAGCCCATAGGAAAAGGAAGAGCATGTGCGGCGTCGCAGTTTGGGATATTCTGTGGGACAAATCAACTGGCTTCCCTTTTACTTTCATGCCGCCTTGAGTTTTAAGTTTTATCATTTATGTGATCACAGCTCTGGCCTCGTCACTTGCAGTCCTTTTTACCAGCAATTCTTGAGATAGGATCAAGAACCTTCAAAGCTAAAAGCAATTATTGTTGCACAATAACATGCGTCCAAGTGTGAAGCTTGTTTAAAAAAAAAAAAAAATTGTCACTGAAGCGATATGAACCAATATTTATATTTTATATTTTAAAATTTTATTTAAGAAAAAAAAAACATTTCATTCGATCCTAACAACGATCGACTCTATCAAAATTTTAAACAATTTTTATCATGGAAGATATCCGATCTAAAAATTCTGTGTTATATGGAATCACGTCATATATACTTAATGGTTCAGTTTTTTGATCCAAAAATTGTTCTTTTTCATTTTTTTTTTGTGCAACTGCACCTGGTATTTCAAACACACGAAAAAGTTTTTGGCGGAGAATAAGGTATAGGCCCAATTACATTAGGATAAAAACTAGAAGATCCTTGTGAACGAGGTCAAACGAAAAAATTTGGACGGAATCATGCAGAATGGTAATTGTAGGAGAGAAAGATCAAACAACTTGGGTTGGCTTCCATTGGGCTTCACTGGACTCACAGGACATTTGTGGGCCTGGATCCATTGAATGGTCATGTCTGTGGGTGCCAACTGAGGCGTTTTGATATACCTTTTCAATCATAAAATATGTTATACAAAACATTAGTTCTCATAATAATAAAATAAAAATAACTTTAAATAAGCCTTACATTAAAGTGTTCACAAATGTTATCTTCAAATTTTTAAGTTTTCTAAACAAGATTGATAATAGAGCCAGATATTTCTATTCAGGCAAATGATAATGGAGAGGATCACATCCAATAACTTATTAAAAAACTTATTCAGGGAATCAACCAATACAAAAATATTTATTATTAAAATAAGAACATGAATTTATTCATTTTTTGATGAGACTTGTGTTTGTAAAGAGGTTTTTTGTCATGCCGTAGGTGTGATTCTCCCATGATAATATGGCCCGCCAATTGGGAAGTTCCTGGGAGAACCTGTCGGGATTCAATAAACCTTGTAAAGTATAAAGAATAAAGGAATCAAGACTTACCTTTTTTTTCGTTCGAAATCCATATTTACCAACTTCAAGATTCAGGGTCAGCATTATTTAGAAAATTACTCAAAAATAACTTGGATGGCCCTTTTTAGAGTAAAGAGAATAAATTACACCAACTTCAGCAGATTTTATTAGACATGGAACAATTAACTGTCATATTTTGAAATAAAAAACAGTGTAATTTTAATAAAATTTTAAAAAATGTGTAAAATTATGTGAAAATAGATGCTCCGCCCCCCCTGACATCTTGCTCCTTTGAAGAATTTTTTAATTAAACACGCAACCGAAACAAAGAAACTTGCAAAGAGACTGAATGGAAGTGGGGTTGAAATGTAGCTCTCGACAAGAAGCTTAAACAAAGATTACATGCCTCCAGAAATGAAAACGCTTTGACGCCCAAAATAGAGACACAACCTCGACGCCTCAGTTTATCCCAATAGTCTGATGATATGAGATAGCGTGCCACTGCATGCTTTCTTCTTCTTCTTCTTCTTCTTCTTCTTCCATCAAATAAGCACTGAATTGCTTGGAAGAGTGAAATGGATGAAAATTAGCAATGAACAAAAAATGATTATGGCTTAATGATTTTTCTCCTTTTTGGAAAACAATAACAAACAACGAAGAAAAAATCAGTATGTGTTATTATATTTTTATGAGGGGTGTAGATATTGAAAGTGACGATTGACAAAGATAGGTGGAAGGAGTGAACAGTGCCCTGTGGAAGTCTAAATAAATGTCTTTGCATGACGATAACTTGTTTCCGCCCAACTTGGTGCCCATGATTTACGCGCCATGCCCAAAAGAAGTTAGAATCTTTCATATTTATCTCATAAAAAAATCTGTGTGCGCGCGCAAGGAAAAAGGAAAATCAAATTTGAAAACATTCTAATCCTTCCCACAGTTTTGAAATCTCTTATAAAATGAGATGCTATTATATTGCTCGAAATTGGATTTTATAAAAAGGAACAAAGGGAGTAAAAACAAAAAGAAAATTTCCCACAAACTTAGTACCCGTTTGGATTTCAGTTAGATATAATAAATTATAAAAATAATTAATTAAATGATAAATTTTAATCATAATTGATTATATTATAATGTAATATGTTTTAATACTATTTTTTTAAAATTAATTTTAACAAAATTGAAGATATTTGAATAATTTATTCAGAATCAATTTTAGTTATATAAATTACCATAAAAAATATTATTTTTCTAAATTAAATTATTGATAAATTCGAATATAATATTGAAAAACTAAAATATATTATTTAAATTATATATTTTATTAATTATAAAAATTTAAATTATATTAATATTAACAATTTTAATTTACGTAAATAAATAACTTGATATATCTTAATTCATAAATTTAATAAAAGAAAAAAATTTAATTCTTAAATACCAAGCATCAATTTTAAATAACTAATAAAGATGACAATGTAAAAATTGATCTCTAACGACATCATGAATATAAATTATATCTGACGAAAATATTAAGCACTATTTAAAAATTTTGGTAACATAAAAAATGCAGTAATATAACAAATGATGTTTCTCTAAACCTTTGCAATAATTTTTCTAATGAGCCTTAATTTTAAATTAAATTAAATTAATTTTTTCTATCAATTAATATTTATTTAAATTAATTTTATAACAAGTGCTAAATGGAAGATAGTGATTGACAGAAACTTATATTATTAACTTTTTTGAAGATTCAAAGTTCGAATTTTATTAAAAAAATAAAAAAGAAGAGAGTTTTATTTTATTTTTATTAAATTTTATACTTTTTTATAATTTTTTTGGACATTTCTTATAATTTTTTCATATAATTTTGAAGCAAAAGACGCGAAAGCTGAATCTTGTAGCTTTGAGGGAAAATTAATTTAATTTTTTGGATAATTTATGTTTGGGTAATTAATTGAAAAATTGATTTTTTTTTTACCCAAAAAATGGATTATGTTCCGTATCCAAACACACACTTTTACCACTTACTACTGTCGTTGATCACTGTCAATTACTATCAATAGTTCTCTCCATCCATTATCATTGGTCATCATTATTAACTGCCGCCATCAAATAGTGACCACCATTAAAGATCTCTGGCCATGTTGGCTAGCAATTACCATCAGTCGTGGCCATTTATTAACATAGACCACGGCCTTTAATAATTGCGGACCAACATTATCGATTGGGTTTTTTAACTTTGCAATTGTTTTCAAATTAACAAAATGAAACATATTTTCTTTTTATTTTGTTTTGAAAAATAATAAAAAAAAAGAAGTTTACAAAATTTAGTTTTTAAAAATAAAAATGAAAACAAAATCAAACACCATCTAACTTTTTTAAGGTTTTAGCATGTGCTCTATCAATTTTTATTATAAGACATTTTTAATTATCTCATTAAAAATAGAATAAATTTCCAATCTTACCACTATTTAAATAAAATTTTTAAAATTTGCATCACATTTTGGAAAAATAGGCGAAAAGGATCTTATTGGAAAGAAAATTGGTCCCAAAGATCAAGATTAATATTTTATTCATTAAATAATATGAGCAAATAACCAAAATACCCCTTTGTTTAAACCAGCAAAATTAAAAAAAAATAAAGGCTGCTTGTTCATCACATGCACCTAAGCAAGAAGCATTGTACCCATGATAATGAAAATTAGTAATTTTAATTATCTTCAATATAAGGTTTCTAGCTGGGGTGCAAGGCTTTTGACTTGAATGTAAGGCTTCTGGCTTAAGTGCAATGTAAGGTCACCTTTTTTAACCTACCATCAACTCCAAAATCAATGCAATCATGGAACTAACCCAATTGAATTATCAAGTTTGTAAAATTTACATAAATGAGATTCCAAATTTTTAAAAATTAACATGCTAAAAAAATTATTTCCTAAACAAAAATAAGAGGAAAACATGTATACGAAAGTATGGGCATCATACAAAGTAAGATAACATTAAATTAAGGTCAAAAGAGCAAAAGTAGTGATTCTGCCATAATACATTGCAGTATAAAATTTTATGTTGCGGCATGAAATGTAAAAGCCTCATAGTAAATGTTTTGACCAAACTTCTAACGCCTCCCAAATTTTCATCCGACATTCGATTGAGGTGACTTAGGTGTCTTCAAAAAGCTTTCTCCGAGTTCCAGAAGTAGGATACACAAATATAAACTTACCCATTTATGCTTTCAAAACATAACTAAGGTGTTCAAAATTATAACAAAGTATCATAAGCTCATAACCACCCCTAGATCATACTTAATAGACTTAATAAGACTTGTGCAACATATTACAACACTCCAATAACATGTACAATACATTTTTAATGCTTAACCTTTAATTTCATAAAATACAAGAGGGAGAAAATTCTTGCACAAATTATCCATATTCATCAATAACAACTCAAAATACGCTTTATACTACTTGTACAAATATTTTGATCCTGTGTAAGGTTTCACAATCACAACTCACTAACCCAAGACATAAAATATATAAGTTGTACATAATAATAATGCAAGTAGCTCAAAATAATCATATGATTCTTAGTTGGCAAATTAACAGCATTAATACACATAAACAAAACAATGAGGCATATAAGTAAGATTTACTCTATAATCTTAAGCCTCGACACGTTTCCCTTGATCCGGATTTGATAAGTTAGGCCTTGAAAATAATAAAGAATGAAGGGTGAGTACAAATACTCAGAAACTAATTTCTCTCTAATCTATACAGTTGTATATCAATTAAAGATAGATGCAATTGGCAATAGCACACATACCTTTTTCACATATATAACAAACATAGCCACGATTACAATAGTGACAATAATGTAACTAGGCATTAAAAAAATATCAT